GCAGTAACTAATTGATAACATTCAAAATCTTTACAAAGTTTTTCAGTTAATGCTGGAAAGGTTTGGCTACCAGTATTAAATGAATATGAGAGAGAGACAGAGAAATGGGGTATAATGTCCACTCAACATAAACTAGGTCATTTTGGGACTTACATGTCATACAATTTTATTTCAATAATTCTTTAGGGGGGTCTTTAGCAGTAAGAGAAAACCGGAGGACCCAACTCCATGACACGTACAAGTGGGGAATGAAAACCATGGCACGTACCTAACTGAATAACATACCTTAAGATCTAACCATCCCCCCCCCCAACTATGACGGGCGGATGCGGTCACAATGGGCTATTTATATGACTTACTAATTCCATCTATATGACTTTCTAATTCCATTTATAAAGCTTTATAATTAATTACTTACTTAGGCACGTGCGAACGCTGAAACCCCTCGAAGCGTGTGACTGAATTGAATATTATTTTCATAGCTTGATAAATGATTTATAAAGTCTTGTAAATAATATGGTAGCTATATAAATCTATTTTCTAAGTCTTATAAATGAATTATCTAACGAACTAAATATTCGGGAAAGTTCGTACATCTGCCCGGAAATTCCCGAGGATGCTTCGGCCAGCCAATCACAGGTCGTCTTACTGAATGGCAAACCCCTCCCACTCCCGTCCGCGGTTTTCGAGTTGTGTGCGTCGGTGTCATAGGGCCTACATCATTTTATTCGTACATTTTTTCCTTTAATGGAATTCGGACGCACTAATCTTCCTGCAGAAGATGACCATGGTCAGAATGAGGGTATGTTGTCTTCAAGGGCTTGGTCCCACGCGTGCCGCATGGCACGTTCAGAAAACTTCCCTCATAGCCCACGCGTGCCGCACGGCACGTTGTACACCCTCTCATACGAAACCTTCATTTTGAAAAGAACTACCCCGGTCGGTGGGTGGAGGGGGAGCGGTGACCTTAGCAAAGTAAATTGACGCTAGGATAACTAAAACATGCATAAAACTTATTCTCGTCATTTTATGTTTACAATAGCCGCCATGAAAGGTAAAACACCGCTATATGTAACGAGGGATTTGATTGGCCAATTGGCCGACTCAACGAAGGAGTACGGAGATTGCCGATTATTTTCTAAGTTATATAAATGGATTTATAAGACTTGATAAATAATTACGTAGTTTCATAATTATTTATCAAACTATGAAAATAATATTCAATTCAGTCACCCATTTCGATGGGTTTCAGCGTCCACACGTGCCTAAGTAAGTAATTAATTATAAAGCTTTATAAATGGAATTATAAAGCTTTATAAATGGAATTAGTAAGTCATATAAATGGAATTAGTAAGTCATATAAATGGCCCATTGTGACCGCATCTGCCCGTCATACCCAACTAAATAAATATGAAGTTCAAATTAAATGTGTTGAAGGTAGCTGGTACCATAACATTAACATTATTGTTATATAGTACCATAATTATTGTTAGAACTATTCAAAAAAAGTAGGGGATATTTGATTTTTAAGTGTTATTAAAGTCACCTAATGAAACTGACGAAGAAACAAATGACAAAATGAAATGAAGTTCACATTCATCGATTTATTCCAAATGATCGTTAGACTAAGTAAGGCACAGACTGACCATTATAAAGGTTAAATTAAAACCGGGGTCAAACAGCAAAGTTACCACAGCATCTGAACCAAGTCAGTAACGGGTAAATCCTCCTCTGTTTGCCAAACAAGCATTGATCCGACGTGGCATACTCCTAATGAGACGTCTAAGGTCATTTTGGTCCAGATTGTCCCATTCCTGTTGCAACGCAGCAGCAAGTTCTTGGACATTGGCAGGACGTTGTTGACGTTGACGTAACCTCTGTCCAAGCATGTCCCAGACATGCTCGATGGGGGAGAGGTCGGGACTCAGAGCTGGCCAAGGTAATGTGGTGATGTTCTGTTGTTGGAGGTAACCTGTAACGATCCTGGCCCTGTGACATCTTGCGTTGTCATCCTGGAAGATGAAACGGCGGCCATGACGTCATGCGAACGGCACAACATGGACTGCCAAGATGTTGTCCCGGTAGTACTGGCCTGTAACACGCCCTGCAACAACATGTAAAGCCGTTCTTCCAGCAACAGTGATGCCTCCCCACACCATAACAGAACCACCCCCAAATCGATCATGTCTGATGACGTTAACGTCTTGGAAGCGCTCGTTTCGACGACGCCACACCCTCCTACGTCTGTCCAAAAAATCAACAGTGAACCTTGACTCATCTGAAAACATCACATTGCTCCAGCGACGATTATCCCAGTGTTGACGATCCCTACACCAACGACGTCTTGCCTGAATGTGATGATCTCTCAAACAAGGGATCACGCGAGGACGTCGGGCGCGAAGGTGACCCCTATGCAGTTGATTCCGAATCGTCTGGCCACTCACTCTCACACCAGTGTCTGTTTGAAGACGAGCGCTGATCTGATTTGCTGTGATGACACGATTTCTCAAGGCCAAGGTACGGATAAATCGATCCTGGGCTTGAGTTGTCGCCCTTGGTCGACCTGAGCGTGGTCTGTCCTGTACAGATTGTGTATCACGGTATCTGGACCATAGCCTGCTTATGACAGACTGAGAAACATTCATCGTCCGCGCCACAACCGCCTGTGTTGTGCCGATCTGTAGCATGCCAAGGGCACGTAACCTTTCATTTTGGGTAAGCCGACACATATCAAAATTTGTTTTCTGGTCACTAAAACAATTAAACTGATGTTTCCACCCTGGAATTCAATGCCACAATGACTGTAACATTCAAAGTCAGAGTCGTGCAAATCTTGGGTTGGACCCCCATGATGATCCCAAGCATCACCTGCATTCCATGCGGTAGCTATCGGTGCGTTTGGGCGTCACATGTAACTGGAAATGTTTCTTCTGTTAGGTTCTATAGTGACTTTTTTCGTAGTCATTTGCATATTTTAGTATTATGCCCCCAAAATCAAATATCCCCTACTTTTTTTGAATAGTATATAATTATTTACAGTATTGGAGAGAGGGAGAGAGAGAAATGTGGTTTAACGTCCACTCGACACAAACTAGGTCATTTCGGGACTAACATATGGTTTAATTTTATTTCAATAATTCGCTTGCGCATAGGGATCTTTAGCAGTGGGAGGAAACCAGGAGGACCCGGAGAAAACCCACGAGGTTGGATTACAGTATTGGATGTTCAGTAACTGTATGATCAATGTGTGTACATGTTTAGGGTATCAGACAATTAGTAACTGTATCATCTTTAATCTTTATAGAGTAGAGTACTGGGTGTTCAGGAAGTGTACCTTAGAGTACTGGGTGTTCAGTAACTGCAACAATATTAATGTTAATGGTATGGATATTCAGCAACATTTTGTAATAGGTGTTTCTTTAGGCAAGAAAATAAATATAATTAATTCTATATACTATGACCCATTTAGAGGGGCGCTGCATTCCTTGAAAACCACTATATAGGTCATTATGTGTATGAACGACTTGTAATAAAACTTGAAACATTTCAGAAATGGATTGACAGTCCTGTCTGAAATATTGCATATAACCTAACTATAACATGGTTTACCTTATACGCAGTAGATCACAAGGTTATGTGGCGTGGTTACAACTCCCCGCTTGTTCAGTACTGTAATAACATCATTCGTGTTCTGGTAATAGTAGTTCAGTAACTGTAACAACATCATTGGTGTTCTGGTTACACTCCCTTTTTGTTTAGGGGAGTTGGGTGGCCGAATGGTTAACATGTGTGCGTTGGATCACAAGTTCTGTTATTGAATCAAGTGGTGTGGTTTCAATTCCCTGCTTGTACGTGACAAGGAGTAAGGTTGCCTGTCCAACCTCGTGGTTTTTCTCAGTTTGTGTCGAGTGGACATTAAACCTCATTTCTCTCTCTCTCTGTCTCTCTCTCCTTTTTGTTTATGCACAAATGATTTTCATAAGAAAACTTCTAAAACTTCTTCTACACATCAAAGATGCAATTTTAAATCAAAAAACAGTATATAAGTTTTGTAATTTTAATATCATGCTTCCTGGCATCCATGTCATATATGAAACTTTCTTATGTTCTAGTTTTAATGACTGCATTCAAATGTAAAATTTTCTGATTAAATATTGATTAATCTTATCTTATATCAGGATGCAAATCCATGAATTTGATTAAAAAACCAGTACAATATTTTCAATTACTTTAATTATAAACATTAAATTTTTCTAATTAAATGCAAGAATTGTTTTGGGGGCAAACAAGTGGTTGGAATTATACGTAAGGAGAGGTGTGCTTGTTCTTGACGGGGGGTATCTGCCAAGTGAATGGCATCAGATTGTGAGGAAAATAATGAACAGACAACAATCAGTCTGGGTATAGCAGCAACCAAATTCTTTATCATGTAGAATTGTGGAATTGAATTCAACCCATGACTGCACAGATGACAGAGCACTAATCTGTATTACAATGCTTTTGATCATACAGGACATCAGATCTATCCAAAGATAGACAGTACACTGAGAAAGAATACATTAAATATGTTACAAAATACCAAATGCTAATACACAATTCAAAACATCAAAGGTCAAAGGAAAGAACACATGATAATGAATAAAACTGGTCTTTAAACAACTTTGAACACAAGAAAAGTCAATGTGATTTGTGAAGATATGTATAATGGATACAAACAAGATATAAATTTATACATGAATAACTACATGTACAAAACACAGACAAGGGGCCTATCTGATCTCCTACATGCCAACCAGCAGCAAAGTTATCCAGGCTAAATCTAAAATCACTGTTTCAACAATTAAGGGGTCTACAAGAAAAGTTAGATGGGTTGAAGGACGTAGGTGTCAACAATATACATCCATATAAACATGGGGGTATAACATAATCTAATCATAACCACATTTCCAGAGATTAAAATTTGTTTCAGCCATAAAACTAATAACATAAATGATACTTACATCAACTAATATGTTGGACTGTGTTACAATCATTTCTGACTCTGTCCGTGGAATGCTGTATGGAAAAGCAGCCATTATCCCCATTCTCCCATTTTAAGGCAAAGTTTAATTCCTGAGTATTATAGCACCAATAACAAATAAAAATGTCAAAAAATCCTCACATCAAATATAATGTTTTTTCTCTCCCTGAAATGAAATACAAAGATAATGTTTTCATTATTAAATGAATGCATTTTTCCTGTAAATTGTTTAGACTTGTGACATAGTATAACTTTCTGGGAATGTAGCTCGTTGACGTCTGTTCTCTAAGTATTGGAAATGAATACATATACTTGGAATGGATCTTCAATAGGGGGGTTGAATGGCCGAGTGGTTAGCGTGTGTGCGTATTATAATAAGGTCTGTCATTGAGTCAACTGGTGTGGTTTTGATTCCCTGGTTGTACGTGACAAGGAGTAAGGTCGCCTATCCAACCTCCCGGGTTTTCTCTGGGTTCTCTGGTTTCCTTGCACTGCTGTGCTAAAGACCCACTAGGCAACGCCGGATTAACCATGGTGGGGGCCCTGGTGCCTGGAACATGTGGGGGGCCCCTGATACCGACCGCAGATCGCGAGCGCCAAAGTTACTTCAAAAATTTTAGGTCGGAAACATGATTTCCTGGCATTTCAGGCACTTGTGTGGAGCCATTTGGAAGTACCTACCCCAGAAAAAAATAAAATTCTGCCACAAAATTAGCGCATTCTGGCCTTATTTCAGTGGACCAATCAATGCGAGTGCTATGGAGTGATGGCATTTCTAGAGGAGGGGGCTGGACACAACTGAGATTTTTGTGGGGGGCCCTCTAATGTGGGGGGCCCTGGGGCCTGTGCCCCATGTTTATTTTGTCTTAAATATTGGATATCATAAGCCCATCTTTTTCTGGTAAGATCACAACATCAATGTTGATTTAATTTGACAAATAAATCGTGTTTTCAATGTTGAAGATTTTGGATGAGACTTAGCTACTTTAAATTGACTGACAGATTTATTGCTGTCCACCTATAATGACTAACCAAGCATTAATGAATGTTAACCCGTTAAGTGCGTAGGTCATTATATAACGTCCTGGACAACTGCCACTCACTGTGTGTAGGGTGTAATATAATGCCTTGGAGGTATTTTCTCCAACCTATTCTTAGAATATAGTTCGTCACTTGGGAATCCCTTGGGAATTCCCCCACGATCGCAGCATGTGTAGGACGTTATATTACGTCCTGGACAACTGCCACTCACTGTGTGTAGGGAGTAATATAATGCCTTGGCGGTATTTTCCCCAACCTATTCTTAGAACATAGTACATAGTTCTTCGTCACTTTGTCAGATTAATTACACAATAGGTGGTAGTTAATGTTTTAAAAACGTCACACTTAACGGGTTAAAATATAGATTTGAAATTAAAAACAGAATTAAACAAGCCAACAGTGAGGCTGATGTCCCCCGCAGAAATCCCAGCAATCTGGGACTACACACCAAGTTTCATCACTCTATCAGATAGAATCAAGATTATCTTGTCCCAAAGCATCGACCAATGAAATTGATTAGCTCTACTTAGCTTTAGCTTGAAATGTTAATCATTGAAATCAGTCAAGACATTCACCTAATGAACATCTACATTAGGTTTAAAGTTTAAACATTCTACCTCAATTAAAAGCAGAGTTTTTATGTTCCAAAGTCTTGACCAATCAAATTGCTTATCGCTCCTTAGCCCAGGCAGAAAATTCGTACAATCGAACTTAGTCAAGGTAATGATATAATGAATCTATATTCAGAGTTTCACCGCTCTCACTTTATTAAAACCAAAGTTATCGTGCCCCTAAAGCATAAACCAATCAGATTGCTTATCTCTGCCTACTGTAAGCAGAGAATGTTTATAATCGAACTCCATCAAGGCATTGACCCAATAAAACACCTACACCAAGTTTGAACATTCTAGCTCAATTAGGAGAGTTATTGTGTTCCAAAAATCTTGGCCAATCAAATTGCTTATCGCTCTGCTTACCCTGGGCAGAAAATGCTCATTATCGAACTTAGTCAAGGTATTGATGTAATGAAACTATACACCAAGTTTCATCACTCTCACTTAATAAGAACTAAAGTTATTGTGTCCCAAAGCATCAACCAATCAAATTGCTTATCTCCGCTTACCCTAAGCGAAAAATGCTCATCTTCGAACTCCATCAAGGTATTGACCTAATAAACACCTACACCAAGTTTGAACATTCTAGCTCAATTAGAAAGTTATTGTGTCCCAAAAAGTGTGACGGACAGACAGACAGACAGATGGACGGACGAAAGGCGGGGGACAATTACTGTGACCTGCTGGAGATTTTAGATGTGTATTGAAAGTAATGTGAGCTGCTAGAGATCAAGATTAACGGCTTATTGTGACCTGTAGTACTCTACTCTAACATGATAGCTGAATGTTATCAGTCAGTGATTAGTATTATTGTTACCATTATCACATTAAATTATTTTACTTTTAGGAGGGTTGTTGAGGTTAACAAATACCAGATATAACTGACTTATGCAATCAATCTGTACTGTTCTAGTACAAACATTTTGGGTGCAGAAAAAAACTTATGCATTTGTCAATCTCATAAGAAAAAAGCCCCAAAAAACAAGATATAATAATCAACACATACACCAAGTTTGAACATTCTAGCCCAATTAGGAAGAGAGTTATCGTGTCCCAAAGCATCAACCAATCAAATTGCTTATCTCTGCTTACCCTAAGCGGAAAATGCTCATCTTCGAACTCCATCAAGGCATTGACCTAATAAACACATACACCAAGTTTGAACATTCTAGCTCAATTAGGAAGAGAGTTATTGTGTCCCAAAAAGTGTGACGGACAGACAGACGGACAGACAGACAGACGGACGAACCCATTTTAATAGTCCCCTGCTTTCTTCGAAAGGCGGGGGACAAAAATAATATAGGACATAGACTTTGATCAGTGTAGTCTCCATATCAGAAAATTAAAATTAAAAACAGTTAGACCTATTGCTTTCAGTTTAATAAAACCATTAGACAAAATTCGAAGTCCTAAAAAACACGGTATAGGCAAAATAGTGTAATAAGGCAAAATAGTGTAATCAGCATATGGACTGTTCACCGTGTACAAAATACACGACAAACAGTGGTAACAGGTGTCCGGAAGAGTAAGCTTACCCTGCCTGGCGCCACACCTGCCATAGCTGAATCCAAACTATTAGGCGAAATCTCGGTAAAATAGCGTGATTGACCAATGAACTATCGGTATGTTAACGATGTAGTAGACAGACATTATCAGGGAGATAGTATACGCGTCAATTAAATATATCTAGAATAATAGCCGAGAGAGACATGTTATATTTACCAATCAAGTCAATATGACGGCCATGAAACTTTTTAAAGGTTTTAATAAGTTTAGTTCGCAAGTATCCCTGTAGTTGAAGCTTAGATGACAAATGCCTCGATCTACTTAAAAAATCAGAATAAAATGAACAAGCTCTCGCGTAACGAATTAGTTGAGACACAAACACTCCATAAGCTGGTGATATTGGAATGTTACTACTAATAAATGGAAAGTTAACAATTGGAAAGTCAAAGTCATCACGTTTATCATACAATTTAACACTAAGTTTATGGCAATTGTCAAAATCGAGACGCAAATCCAAGTAGGAAGCGTAATTGTCACCGTCAGTAGTGTTTTTAATTTCGGGTTCATCAGGATATATGAATTCTACATAATCACTAAATTTTGGATTATTCAGTGATAGAACATCATCGATATATCGATAAGTGAAATTAAAATGCTTGACTAATCGTTTATTTGATTTTACAAGTGCCTATATGTAATCGGCTTCGTAGGAATAGAGAAACAAATCAGCAAGCAAAGGTGCACAGTTGGTGCCCATGGGGATACCTACAACTTGCTGATAAATTTCCCCTCCAAATTCAACAAAGTTATTATCAATTAAAAAATCCAACATCTGAATTATCTTGTTGGCGGTGAATTTATTTTGGGAATCACTATGGTTCTTGACAAAATATTACTATGACACGCAGTGATTTGTTTTCTTAATCATCACTATTGCTTAATTTGATCTTGTATTGTCTATTGGATTTTGTTTTGGACTGTCGATTAGGACCAACATTTCATGTTATTGTAGTTTGAATTTTTGGTATTTAAAAGCCTTGGAAGCAAGAGTCATAAGGTGTTTAGTTTATACATTGAAATTGATGTCTGTCGTACAGTCTTTCAGTCCACAATTTCTTGTGATCACTTTACAGTTCTGAGTTCTTTAAGAATCTTTTTCAAAATTTGCATCGATTATTCAAGGTTCTCTCTCTCAACAGATGTTTCCCTTTCAAGCTTTCAAGTCTAGTCACGCCTCAGGCCCGCAGCTAGTGGGGGTGGGAAGCTGAACCGCGCCTTTTCCATTGGACGCATTCTGAAGCCAACGACCAATGTGCCAATATCAGTAGGGCTGCCCCCCTTGCCCACCAGGTAGCTACGGGTCTGCGACTACAACTAAATGATACCAAGATTACACCTTCGACTTTTTAAGCAATCAACAGCCTAAATTTATTCAGTCTTACCAAATAGCATGACAATCCAAAAATCATTAAAATTAAGCAATCCTAACGTACATGTATGTTATGCCAATCTAACATCACATTTTTTTCCACTGAGATAATGTTGCCATTTTCAATTTCTTGTATTCATCTGTCAAGATCTGACTGATTATTCATTTCTAACCATGAACATCAAGGCCAAGATACAATATAACCTAACTTTTTTGTTCTATTTGCCTAAATCATTTAAATTTCAGCCCTTTTTCTGTTAAGTTAAAATAGGTAAAATGCTTATTGGTTGTTGGTCACATTGGATCTTTCAAAATTACATTAAGTCGAATTGGTGCCCCTGCAGCAGAAAGCATGGACATCCCCCTTGAGAAATGTTGCCTTATAGAATCAAATGATGTTGACACGAAAAGGTTAAATGCAAACACAACAGTCATTGATTAAATTAAAAAAAAACTACCACATCAAAAAAGTTAAAGATTGATCTTAAAAACATAAACACTAGACAGTGCTCAACCATGGATTAATTCAATAATCAGAGGTTATCTTCAAAG